GGGGGGGGGGGGGGTGGGTTGCTAAATGGGAGTTGTTACGGAATGTTAGAATAAAGTCGCTTTGAATTGACATATATATATATATATATATATATATGTATATACACACATAGTAATAATATGTATAGACATACATTTATAAATATACAATTTTTGTAAAATAGTAAATATATGTGTGTGTGTGTGCACATAGGCCCTATACATATATAGGCCTACACACACTCATATTTACTATCATACAAAAATTACTTGAGAACAACATATCTCTAAGTTTTAAGCATTATTTTAAAAAAATAATAACTCAACAGGTGTTAAATGAAAAAAAAGGGCTTTAATTCTCATCAGCAACATTTTTTTTGTTTGTTTTCCTTCTAAAATGTAGAGTTGGTCATTGATAATTGTACACAATCTGATAAAAGCAAGCGCCCATCACAGCAGGTGGTAAATGAACAGCAACAAGCAACACATGAATTTGAAAAAGAAACGCACACACAAGAAATATAGAGCGAGAGATAAAATGCATAAACTGCCATTTGTAGGGACACGTCAGTCACATCATGGAAAAAGTGGCAAATCTTTAGTGGCACGGATGATGCACGGTAAAACAATTGAAATAAACTAATATAGATATTCGAAGCCATTAATAAAATGTCAGCTGCTGCGAAAGATATAATGCTGCAAAAAAAAACATAATCATTGAACATCAGCGAATTATTATTATGACATGGAATAGTAGTTTTTCTAATCTTTGTTTTCTACTGCGGCTACTTGGAAGAAGGAGGATTATTTTATCAACTTTGAGGGGAAAGTTAAATCCCCTGCTTGATTTATTATTTGTTTTGGAGAAACCTATCTAAAAACAGAATTAATGAGAAATTACAGGGATGACTTTTACGATAGTGGAGCTGTAATTTTAAAAAAAAAAAAAATTAAATATTAAACAATAAGAATTAAAAAAACTACATACAAATGCCGGAACCATCCATAGTGTATCTTTATGGCGTAACAGTATAGATAATTATTTTACTTATAACTGTATTAAGATATTAAAATTTTCATAACACTCTGTGTTCGTTTTAAATAATTAAAATCCATTTTTTTTGTTGTGGATATCACCCCAGAGCAAAGGGGGTTGTCAAGCCAAAACATATTTTGGTCACAAGCATTCATCTGAATTGTCAAATTGTAAAGATAAACATTTCAATAAATTGAGTAAGGGAAAAAATAGATTTTGATACACAAATATTCAAATTGTTTTTCATCTTTCATTGATAACAAGCCTGTCACATGCCACAGTTTTTGGAGTCAGAATTGTAACATATTATTATCTGACTCCATACAATCCTGGCATGCACATGTGTCAGCTTCCAATCCCCCGCCAATACACACATACTCTGTACAAATACCCCTGTTACTTTAATCCGGGATACACATCCCAAAAATAAAACCAACTAATCCCTGGTACACACTGTCCCAATTATACACATCCCATGACACACTTCCCTGATACGAAAGTTTTTCACACATAATCCTTGCAAAAACACCTCCAGTTCAACAAAAATTCCTGATACACATCTCTCAGGTACATACAGCTCAGGTACAGACCACTTCACAAATCTGTGATACAACATACCTTGTGCACACGTCCACGGTACATGCACATTTCTAGTACATGCATATCTCTAGTACATGCACATCTCTAGTACATGCACATCTCTGGTACATGCACCTCTCTTGTTCATGTACATCTCTGGTACACACATCACTAGTACAGTCATCATTGGTACACATACACCTGAAACTGATACAGGTACACTCCTTACTGGTACACTCACTCCTGGTATGCTCCCTCCTGGTATGCTCAATCCTAGAATGCTCATTCCTGGTACACTCACCGCTGGTACACTCACTCCTGGTACGCTCACTTCTGGTACGCTCACCGCTGGTACACTCGCTCCTGGTACCCTTATTCTTGGTATGCTCATTCCTGGCACATTCATTCCACATACACACAAACCAGATACAATCATTCCTGGTACACTCATTCCAGGTTAACACGCACCCAGTTTACACTCCATTGATTAGCGCCATTGTAAATGTACAGACTTCAGACTTTGTTTTTAGCATGGGTGGGAATGATCAAACATGTAACATTATTACTATTTTTTTTTACAAAGATTTAAAAAAAAAAAAAAAATCAAAATAAAAAAAAAAAAAAACTGCCATTTTTCAAAATAAAAAATTATAAGAAAAAAAAATTCCATTGATTAGGGCCATTGTAAATGTACAGACTTCAGACTTTGTTTTTAGAATGGGTGGGAATAATCAAACATGTAACATTATTACTATTTTTTTTTACAAAGATTTAAAAAAAAAAAAAAAATCAAAATGAAAGAAAGAAAAAACTGCCATTTTTCAATATAACAAATTATAAGAGACAAAACTAGTGTTACCAATGTAAATGTTGCTTCTGAGCGGCTAAGTCTGATAAACATCTAAGGTGCCTACATAACCCCGTTCCCCAAGATCTTTGCCTTCCTTTACATATTTGTTATATTTATCAAACCCTCAGCATTTATATGGTAACCTAGTTCTGAGGGAAAAAAAAGGGATATCTTTTAGGTGGTGTCTCCAAGAGACACTTTGAAAAACACTTATTCACCAATATCCAGGTGAAGTCAGCTCTGTAACTTCTTGCTGGACAGAGTACCATGACTTAATTGATAACCGACTTCTGTTTTCTTTATCGTGATGCCATTTCAGGTCACATTCATATTACAGGAACACAGAAGAAGAAAAAAGTACATTATTATTATCTTTGGCTTATTGTATGCAATAATTGTGGTAACTATAAAAACAAACTATGACAAATGTAAATAAGTCTACAAAATATTTCAAGTAGACTGCTCTGCATCCCATGATAACTCATAGAAGAATAAATTATTTTAAAAAAGTAGAATTCACATGAGAATAAAGGGAATAAATAAAATTTGGTAAACCATTTTTCTGTTAAAACAATACGAATAGCAATAACTGCACAACAACCTGAAGAAATATTAGACTTTCATGAAAAACTGGTAAGATCATTGAAATAACAAATTATGCTTGCTATTTTGTTCTTTTTTAAAAAAGAAATCAACAGCTTATAACCCATTTTAACATCTGAAATATTAATTTAATCTATATTATATATTATTTTATGGGGGGTGGGGGTGGGGGTGGTGGGGGGGTGTTGTTGGTATTATTTTAAAGAAGATTGTTTTTTTCTTCTCTCTAGACCACCAAATACTCATCAAAATCAAACCAAGGAGAACATTTAAAAAAAAAAATTGTTGGTGGAATTATTTTAAAGAAGATTGTTTTTTTCTTCTCTCTAGACCACCAAATACTCATCAAAATCAAACCAAGGAGAACATTTAAAAAAAAAAAAAGAGCATTGACTGTATAATTCAGGGATGACCAACTTTCTTCGTGAAGGGGGCGATGTAAGGAGGTTAATTTTTTTTGAGGGGACGCCATGATATTTTTCCTATTCAAGTATTCAATTTGAAAATAAATATTTGAATTTTTTTTTTTTTTTTATAATATGCTGTGATTACTTAATCATTACAGGTGACATTTTGAACATTTTACACAGCGTTTATTAATTTTCAAAGGCTGGACTTCAAAAGATAATCATTAACAATCATGCTGGCCGGATTAAATGTTTCAGCGGGCCGTGTGTGCCATAAGTAGTTGCCCAAGCCCGGACTAAACTTACGTAATATGCATAAGCTAAAGATTTTCAGATATAAAACAAACAAAAAATGTAAATTTTACAAAATTATATCTATTGGGAGTATCTTCTGTTCTGTTCCAAGAGTTGTGAGTCGGGACTAAAAGGGTTAATAGTGAAATAACATGTAAAAACAGCCTTCTTGGGCATGCCACAGCCATTGAATAAATAGATTGGACAGAAAAATGTTACTTATTGATTTTTAAAAAAAAATGAAATAGACTCTTGCTCTGACAAAATTTCACATTCAGCTCAAAAGAATACCTCGTCAAAAGAATACCATTCGCCCATGATCTCATTAGCTGAAATATTTCCTCACTAACCTTTTACAATCAAAACCACAATTGGTAACCGTTTTTTAAATGTAAAAAAAAAATACTGTCCATTAAAAAACATTATTCTGTAATCATCGATGAAACTTGGAACATGTCAAATGCAGCCACTGAGACGAGCAACAAATATCACTGTGAGAGATAGAAAATAAGAGTAATATCTGGAACACAAGAAACTGTATAATATAAAGAAAAGTGCTAACCGTAAAGTGTATAACTCAACACATTCAGGCTTACACTGCCTTACCAAGGACCGGAGAGTAACAACAACAAAACAAAAAACAGACCCCAAAAAAAAAAAAAAAATGAGATTACAAAATTAAAGATCATTTTTATAGCACAACAAATCTGGCAACAAAACAGAACTAAAAACAGTCTGCTCATTTTATGTCTATTCTCCCAAAAAGTTTGTTTCCTGAACCCCCTCAACATTTCCAGTTAGTTTCTAACATAAACTTAAAATATATCTTTTTAAATGAAAGCCAACTCCACAAATTCATACCTCTCTCTGCCATGCTCTATATAGATATAGATATATATTTGAGCACTGAATTATTCTCACAAGTCTCTCTAGTTTTTGATTAAAGAGTAACGTTAGAACCCTCAAATAAACTTAAAGAGTTTTTAAATGTATTTAACTACATTGTGACATTGTAACACAAAAGAAAAAAACTGAAGCTGGATGGGGAAATATTCTGGCATTATGTAAATGCAGACAGCTATTACCTCTCTTTAGTTGAGAGCATCCTATTTTATCAATCAAATGTAGTATGTTTGTCTGACCAGCATAGCTTTGACTTTGACAGAGCAGCCTACTTTGTCAATCAAACACAGTGAGTTTGTCTGACCAACATAATCAGACCAGAATAGCTATCTACATAACTTAGAGACCCAAGAACAAAACAACAAAGACTGAATTGATTTCCGTGCAAATAATGGTTTGTCGTAAATTCCTCGGAAGACACACTAAATCCTGATAAGAATTATGGCAAGCATAAAAACTCTTTACTTTAAATAAGCGTTTGTTTGCAAGGGTTTTTCCCATACAACACTCGAGTCATGACAGTGTAAAACAGTAGCTCATTTTCACAAGAAACATAAAAACTAATGGCTTTTCAAGATTATATGGCCAACACCATTCGCCAATGATTAAATAAATTAGCTCATATGATGCTTAGGTTTGTTTGCTAGTACTAACAAATATAATGCTTTAACAATGGCAAGATGGTTGACAGCTATAAATAGATATAAGATCAATCAGCACAAAATCCTGGCCAACTGCCATCAAAGTCATCAAGAACACTGGCAAATGAAACAGTACAGCAGTCTTGGTGAAAAGTTACACAAATCCTGATATAATTATTGTATCTTTATCTCCCTTTCATCATAACGGTGCGGGTAACATATATATATGTATATATTTTTACATATATATATATACCCACACAAATATATTAACATCATGTCAAAGTATGTCAAAGTACCAGTTGCCATGGAGTTCCTGAAAATAATGAAAGGGGAGGTCAGCATCAATCTACAAACTGCGTCTAAACAATTAATCATCAGCAATATATGTATCGTATATTCAAAAATGTATTCATATCCCTGCATGAAACTACCTATGCCCCTAATCCTCTAACTGACCCAGAACCACCAAAGCAGACCGAGAATTCACCTTTCTTAATTTGGCATCATAGTGCAGTCTACCTTCTCTTAAAATTTCAGGACACCACTCACTGCCATGCAGAAAGACAAAAAAAAAAAGGAAGTACCTGATTTTGTTAAACTGAAAAAATCCTCTAACAAAAGGACATAATATGTATGAAGCATGATTTTTATCACTCAACTGCCATTCTGTGTACTCTTTCTCACATACATTTTCCCTTTTTTTAAAACTTTATTTTAAAGAAAATTATATGTGCTGCGGATGAAGAGATCTTTGTTTGCTGTGCTTGACTGCTGGAACAAAAAAAATGTACATGCAATACTGGTATTAAATAACATCAAGATTTAATAATATAATGAAGAACTAATTGTTCCTTCAATGCCTTGTGAAAGATCGGTACACTTTTCAATTTTTTCTTTTTACTTCATCAAGGTCGGCGAGTACTTCCCCGTAGAAGCATCTTCGTAGGAAGGTGGCGGCACGGACAGATCATAAGTTGCATTGCTGACATTGTCGGCGGTTGCTGAAAGCCCAGGTTCCGGTACTGCTGCACTGCTCCCCACCCCATCAATCATCCCATAGTATGTCAAAGTCTGGCCCCCTGTGTCTAAAAACCCTGCCATCCGAGGTGAACCGCTGTACACGCCCGCTGGGTTATTCCCCCTGTTCCTGAAGGGAGACCCGTGACCACTGCTGCCGTCTCTTGGAGAGTTCCTGCCGCTGGTGTACGGGGATCGCCTGCTGCGGCTGCTTCCCCGGGATCGTCGGTCGTCCTCTAAATGTTGGGAGAGGTAACTCTGAATGAGAGCTGATGATGTCATTGAAGGAGCAGGGGCCAGCGGGTAGACAGGGAAGATTTCCCCACTGGGCGGATGAAGTATTCCATGTTCATCAATGTTCCCAGCATAGAACACACCAGACGGGTCTTGCGCGAACAGGGCACTGCTGTGAACAAAATGGGGCTCTGCCATTCGGAAATCCTGCAACCGAGCAGACTCCTCCCTCTCAGAACTGTACCCCGAACACCCGTCATCAGCAGCTCCATGAAGAATCTTTGAGTTCAGAAGTGTAGCTGGGTTTGGCGGCATGAACTCCACGTTTCTCAAATCCCCAGCCGGGTGCCGCACTCTGCCCCGCCTTCTCTGTTGGTCGGAAGCAAATGTAGATTGCTGGTCCGCCAAGGCCTGCATGTCTATCCCAGTGGGCTCATGGAAAGCCAGCTGATTGTGCCCATTGCCCACATGTTGTATGATGAGTCCCTGGCTGGATTGATCCAGCATAGCCATCCTCATCTCTGCTGGCCTGGAGCCTGCATTGCCAGAGTTCTGACGATCCTGTGGGTTGGACGAGTTGACATGGTAAAGTAAATTGCAGAGTTCCGTTTGTTTGAAGAATTAGTCTATCAGTATAGGAAAGCAATTCAATTAAATGGCTTGTTATTACTGTACTCCTCTCTTAACTATCCTGATCTGTTAGGCAGTGGTGGCCCACCCATTAAAAGACATCCAGTGGTTGTTAAGTGTTTGATAAGATTTAATTTGTAAGTTGTAGGACAACATAGGGAACTGTGGGGGGACAACATAGGGACCTGTGGTAGGACAATATAGGGACCTGTGGTAGGACAATATAGGGACCTGTTGTCTAAGTTAAATGCTACACGTAACTTCCATGTGGGTGTCATAGGGTTTCCCAATCTTTTTTTCACTCTGCACCCCTACGAATTATTAGACTGTCTCTGAACCCCTACAAATAGTTTAACTGATTCTCCCAAGTGGGAACAAAGGGTTGATATTTTCACCAGGTACCGAATCTGAGCTTTTAGGGACTACTATTTCTTTATATATATTTTTTTTATATTGTTCTGATTCATCACGAGTACATTTTTTCCTAAATTACAAATTAATGGTGTAAAATTTTTTTTTTTACATAAATCGGACCTTTAAAGGAGCAATTTTCAATTAAAAGTTTTGATTTATTCATTTGAGAAGAATGTAAAGATGTTAGAATGTGTGCGCAGCTAAAGGGGATTATTCAGGAATTTTTCTCGTTGATATAAAGTTAGAAGTAGAGTTTTATTTAGTGCAAAAACTATGGGGTGCTGTTGTCTGTTTAATTTATTGCTAAATCTATGGGGTGCTGTTGTTTTCTTCTTCTGTGTTTAGCTGTAGGATGAACTCCAATCAACAAGTAGTTTGAAAGTGACATATTTTAGCATGCAAAGCCATCCAGCCACTCATTTTAACACACTAGCTTATTGAATATCTTTAAAATTTGAACATTAAAAAATAAATCTTCAGATCCGCATGGGTAGAAATAGTATTTACCGAGGGGGATATTTGAAAAAGAAAATGGGGATATTCGACTGGGGCCAATGTATGAGGCGACATCCTGTTGCTTCTTATCTCCCATCCCCTACAAAAGTTACTGGAAAAAAAAAACACGGTTTTTTTTTGCTCTAAGAAAAAGAAATGAAGAACTTATAAAATAAATTGTTGACTAATTACATAATTATATCATGTTCTTGAAGAATGCTGAATTTTTAAAAAAATATTCAAACATAACTTTAAATTCAATTTTATAAATATTTTCATTGCACCTTCTGAAATTCACCCTCGCACCCCAGGTCAGGACACCCTGATTATAGGATGTAGGACTTCTGTACAATAAAAAAAAAGTTAATTCAGCTATGAATTTCAATACAGCAGTGTTCTCAGCACTCCCCCCCCCCTAAACAACATGTAAATCTATTACTCAAAGCCTGTGGTCCTTGGGTTACAATCATTTATTCTTAGACAATGAGCAAGAAAACAATTTAGCTAATTTTATAGTGAGAAGCCCCTGATATAATAATAATTTCTATTTCCCCACCAACGCGAGCTCTTCTTTTCAGCCCGGCCGAGGCATTTTGAATGTTTGTACACCAAATGTGAATCGCGACTCACCTGATGGGAATATTTACACCTACGGTAAACAAAAGCAAAAAGCACACAGTAGATTAACACCGCCGGGATCACAATGCCGACAATAGCGCCAACACCTGAACAGACAGGCATAGAAATAAAGAGAATAAAGTGAAATCGGTGGGTTCATGCTGAGAATAACCATGTTCAAAAATGTCAGCCGATTCTAAATGTTTTAATCCAATGTTTAATTTATGATGTTACAGAATTTTGTATGTCAAATGACGGAAAAGGGATTCAACAAATGAATATTGAAAATGGATCTGTAAAAACTATCCAGCAGTTAGAACATTTAAATGCAGGAAATGAAAAGTTTTGCCTGGAGTTCCCCCAAACTCTGTTAAAACTTGTGAAATGATTGTGAAATTTTAACAATTACAGTGTATGTTGTGAACTTAACCTTTTTCGCATTAAAAAAAATAAATAAAAATTTTTACACTTCCACCATGATCCATCACTTAAACTTTTTACATTTACAACATATTCGGTCACTTTAAATAGACAAACTTATTAATAACAGAATAAGACAATTTCAGCAAAGGGACTTACCCATTTTTTTTGAAGGCTTGTATGACTCTTTGCCACCCCCTGTTTAAAAAAAATATTTAATATCATTTTTGTATATGGACAGTGAAATGGTAAAATATTTTAGTTTTAGTCAATTAATGGAAAATAAAATTAAAGGTTAAGATTGCACTTAAGAAAATGATTTTAATTCAAATATATCTGTAGTTTGTAGGGGTTTTTTTTTTGGCTTTAAAATGCTCTTGTAAAAGTCTGATCCATTTGCTTTTCTTTTCTTGTTTTTAACCATATGCTCCCACCACATTTTTAGGCAATTAATTTCTGATTCACACCCAACTTAAAATTATTTTTTTAGAACATATTTCGCATGGAAACATTGAAATCTACACATAGACTCACTGTGAAGGCCAACAAACCATCTACACATAGACTCACTGTCAAGGCTAACAAAAAAATCTACACAGAGACTCCTATCAAGGCCGACAAACCAAGCACTCATAGACTCACTGTCAAGGCTAACACACTACACAGACACTGACTGTCAAGGCAACACACTAAACAGGGACTGACTGTCAAGGCTAACACACTACACATAGACTTGCTGTCAAGGCCAACACACCAACTACACAGGGACTCACTGTCAAGGCCAACACACCAACTTACACAGGGACTCACTGTCAAGGCCAACACACCAACTACACAGGGACTCACTGTCAAGGCCAACACACCAACTACACAGGGACTCACTGTCAAGGCTCACAAACTTGAGCTGGAAACCTTTGTAATTCCTGTCGTTGATGTTGTTGGTTTGGAACACCATGAGCACTGTGCTGCCTGAACTCTCAAAGCTTGGTGTCTCTCTACCACAGAACTCTCCCAGGACTGAATCATCGGTGGTTGGACCTAAAAATAGAATTTGACCGACAAAGTATTTCTCGCACCAACAATTGTTTAATAAAAATTTACAATTGCAATTTAAAACAATAAAAACATAAAAGAAGAATTTTTTTTTATATAAAGAAGCACTATATAAGTAAGTATAGTAGTCTTGCTGGTTATGTTGAGTAGACCAATATTTTTATATCTTTCTAAATTGATGAATAGAAAGCTGCACATAGAATCCAATGTGCGAGAGCAGTTCTACTTACGGCAAAGGTTTACTCAACATTACTCAATGAAACACTGCCTCTACTAATCGAATAAGTAATTGTTACAAAAGTGATTTGGCAAATCATTAACATGCTCACCCATGTTACAATATATAGCTTTTTTCTGCTCAAGCGTTGAAAAAAAAAATATATATATATTGTAACCTACGCAAATAATAACCAATAAAAATCAGTATTTTTACAAATTGTGTTTTAAAAATATCCTTGGCAAGATTATGAGCAGCTAAACAGTTTTAAAAGTCAGGAAAGCTTAAACATTTTCTTAAGGAATTGGAAGACTCACCATCATAGAAGACAACCCTGTCCAGACAAATATTGTTGTTGTCTCTGGGTTCCATGTCCGAGTCTGTCACATCAATTTTTAGGCTATCCATCTGATAGGCGGCCCTGAATAGCACTCTGCAGTTGTTGTTACTGTTGAGAAGGAAACACAGGAAATAACTCATGAGGAAAAATCATGGTAAAAAAGAACACTTAAAAAAACTGAAACAAATTTTGTCAACATTATGAAATTTCAATTAGCCAGGCAGATGCTACATTTCAACCACACATCGGCAGATGCTACATTTCAACCACACATAGGCAGATGCCCCATTTCAATAATACATAGGCAGATGCTACATTTCAATTATACATAGGCAGATGCTACATTTCAAACATACATAGGCAGATGCTACAATTCAACCAGAAATCGGCAATGCTACATTTCAATTATACATTGGCAGATGCTACATTTCAACCATATACAGGCGGATGATACATTTCAACCACACTTAGGCAGATGCTTTATTTCAAACACACATTTAAAAAAAATAAATCTGGATAAAAGTGGGTGACTTGCTCAACATAGCCCAATGAGTATTTAGATAAATGAGCCTCGTGATATGGGGATGATGGTGAAGTAATTTAAATGGACTTTAGTTTGGAGGACCTCCAGAAATTTATCTTCACTGCAGCACAAACTGGTGACAAATTAATTGATTACTAGTTATAGCTCGACAAAAATTGGCGACAGCAATGAATGAACTTCCCATCTACTAAAATTACTTGACAAAACATGAACTCAAGGAACGCACATTTAAGAATCCCAATTTTTACTTCACCCCTTCCCCCCCATGATACGCCACTGCACACTTTTTACTTCACGTCCATGTATATTATTAATATTCTGATGTCCTGACCACTTTTAAACCGAATATTTATTACACCATATTTAAATTGAGACGATTTTATTTTCCATAGAGAAAAAAAAATATTACGCACCAAACGCAGCTGTGTTATTTTTTTTTAAAAATCATTTAGCGTAGTTATTGGGACTTATATTTTGTGTGCTATCTGGAAATGGAAGCAGGTACACCAAAAACAAAATATATGAAAGAGATTGTTCTTATTTGATTTTTTTTTAATGGGGGGGTGTGTGTGTGTGTCTTTGTGTGTGTTGGGCATATACACTGGCCTTGCCTAATTTTTGAGTAGCACTGATTTAAATGGAACAAATAGTTCCCCCAGATGTACTAAGATACTGGGGTAGTCCCTTCAAAGACTGCCCTTGCTGGACTCTTGGCCTTGCAGCTCTCTCATTTTTTATACCGATCTTCGTGGCTTTTGCCAGACACAAGGTGCGATATGAAGGTCCTCCAATGGGTTTGGTAACACGGTGGGATACAAATAAGACATAAACCCTTGATCTTAGCCAAAAGGCAGAGAAGTGATCGGATGATTTCTGGGCTTCTTCAGACAAACTCAACAAATATGTTTATTTCTATACTTATTTTAAGATAAAATGGCACAAAGCTACTAACTTTTTATACCCTGTCGAGTGAGTGAACCCTGGAGAAGAGTAATGTGCAGTATCTGTTGTGGAGCCAGTTAATTCCTCCTGCCTGATGCAAAACCCATCTGCAACAAAAAAAAAAAAAGGGAATTGATGATGATGTTTCAGCACACATTTATACAACAAGGCAAGAGCTATGTAAATATTGGGTCATGTAACCCTCACCATTATCAAGAGTAGTGATTAGGGTATGGGCAGTGTCTTCAAAGGGAAATAATTCTGAATTTTGAGGTAGTTTCCCTTCCTTCTCTGCCCCAATTGCATCATACTTTTGTCACAAGTGTTTGTTTGTTTTTTTTTCTGATAAAATCCGGAATGTAGTTTGAGATGGATGTTGATACAAATTTTGATAACATACAAAAATGTGATATATCTTTCTTGAAGTTAATCTATGATACATAAAATGAAGTGTAAACATTAAATGGCCTAAATTGTTATCATTGTAAGAAAATGTGTATACTTCTGTCATTTGATTGGTCAAATAAAGAGTCAAAACTTTCCTGTGCCCCCACCAATTGTTATGTTTTATGCCCCTCCTCATTCGAAGTAGATGATTTTTTAAAAATTTTTGTTCCAAATTACAGCTCTGATAAGTTTTTAAAAATCAAAATTGTACACATATAGGGAAAACTTGGGCTACATTTCAGCATCTAATGCAAAGCTTAAAAAGCTATTAGCAAATTTCAAAATAGCAAATAATCTTTTTAAGGTAGGTACTAATTTAACAACGCGCTAAGAATAATAATGCTGGATTGTTACATATAAGTCAGCACAGTCAAGTATTGGTCCTGAGAGTTTTAAATATCATTTTCAAAGGAACTACAGCCCCTAGAGAGCTCTGGCCTAATACACCACTTCCATCCACTGGAATCAATCCATGGGCTTTTGCCTCTGTTCCTGAACAACCAGCTCATGTAAAGCTGTCTTCTTATCCTTTTTCAGCCTCAATCTGTGGATGACCTTGGTTTCTGTCTGTGCACCAATTTTACTCCATTGTACTCTCGAGGTGTTTACTGCAATGGAGTATTCCTTTTTTCATTGCCCCCACTATGGTTGAGATTAATGACTTAATCCCAAATTTACATCTGTTAAAAATTTTGCTGATCACTATTCCAGTACAGTACAGTGCAACTTTCCAAAATATTTGGGACCAGTAAATAACTAGATTTTACTTGGATTGTGCAACATGGCTCCAAATTTTTGTCCTTTGTCTGTGCGCCAATGCTCATTGCCATGCTAAATGCATACAATAAAAATATTTAAAAAGACAGGGGCAGTCCAAAAAACCATCGTTTCTGAAAATCAGACTTCAGAAATTTACACTCTACTTTTTGGCAAGGGAGGGGGAAAATTCACACATAATTGACATTCTTGATAGGTAGCACCATCATCAAATAATTTAGTTCATAAGAAAAACTGCAGAAGTAATTTAAACAATCAGTAGCTAATCCGGCAGCTTACTTGATGGAGTCCAGAACATTGTAGCAATGAGTGATATACTAAAACTATGGGAAGCAATAAGAAATCCTGAATCTCTCTTGAGTGACACCATGCTTCTGAGAGATAATAGAAGATCCTATTGCCCTCTGGCAGTAGCTTGTCCTTTGTGGAACAAATGACATTTAGGTCATTTTTCTGTGGGAAAAGAAATTATGACCATTATATTAATCTTAATGGTGGAAATTAGTCACACACCACAAGGAAAACATTAACAAAGCTTTCAGAGCAAGAAATTATATTTTTTTATTCATTACTTTCATTTACTGTGGGCTTGTGGACAATGTAATATTTCTTACATTGCCCCCACTTCATGATTTAGAAAAATTAAATAAGCTTTAAGCTTATAACTTGTAGAAAGTTTTGTCTTTTAAATTATTCAATTTGTTATTTCAGGTATATGACGTACAGCCAAATCCTACATTAAGGTATATTTTTTCCCTAACTTTATTAACAGTAAGACAATTATAATAAAGAGTTAAATTGATGGTATCATTTATATTAGGAAATATTAAAATAATTTAACAGTAATTATTAATTTTACTAGGTCGAGAGAAAACCCTTCTGGATAAAAAATTAACAGTCATAAACACTGACTGGGCAGTCTAGTGCAGGGGTCGGGAACTTTTTCATGGAAAAGAGACAAATATTAAATTTTGATCCAGAAGCTAGTAGTATCCAAGAGCTACATGAGAAAGATCAATGAGCCGCATGCGGTTTGTGAGCCTTAGGTTTCTGACCCCTGGTCTAGTGGCATAAATGTTATTTTTTATTTTTAAATGTTATTTTAGCTCTGAAGTTTAAAATGTGGTTGCAATAAGTTATAGCTTGCTATACTTAAATGACGATAATGGTTTTATTTTTTTTTAAATATCATTAGGCCTATTGCAAGAGTCCTTAATCAGGGTTGCCTGCATTTCGAGGGGCTACGAGAGGTAGTGCCAAGGGATGTGGGAAGATCCTGTATTTTTTATTTGCTGCATAACCAAGCCATTTTTAGTTCTTGGTACCTTGTTGCTGGAAATGTTTTAATATCAAGAGGGGTGCACTGCTGATAAAGGTTAAGAACCCCTGGTCTAGTGTGTATATTATATAGATTGATAACAAAGAAAAACAAATATGATTTTAACGTTACTTGACTTGGGGGTAAAATTGAAGTCTTAAGAGATCAAATTATATAAATTATATGAAGACTTTTAGGCTTCAGTAAAAATATTTAATTTCACAGATTTTAATGATAATGCTAGATAATCACTGCCAGATAAACTAAAAATGATGTTGCAGTATAATAAATTGTTTTACTTAACTCTTATTCATCTAGTCTACAGGACAGCAATACAACCCACTAGAGGCTAAATAACATAATTTTCATAAAATTAATCTAAAGATAATTTCTTAGCCTTTTTTTAAATTGCAAGTTTAGCTGTAAGTCACACATTACTTTAAAGTTATAGTGTGATTGAGTGCGACAGAACCTGAGTTATTCTGTAACTGTAGCAGTGTATGCTTATCAGGGTATTTAATCGGGAGGCATAATTAAAAAGAGATACGAGAAGAAGAAACCGTAGGCCTAAAGAAAATTCACGGCGTGAGAAGAGTAATGTAGCAAATACGTTTAATAGTAGTTGTACGACTAAAATGCTAATTTCAGTCAGTCAGTGATGTCAGATGCGTGAACTGAAGTGAAGGCGAAGCCGACGAAATTTTGTCATTTATGTCGTTACTGAGATGTGCACAGATTGTATGCATTTGAAAAATTTTGCGAATAATGTGGATCTCAGATGCAATTCATAAAATTGTACTTGCCTTTAATGAGCTTTTGGGAGAAATTTGTTCACATTTTGCATTTATTATATTAACTTAATTTAAGTCGGTCAAAAATCCAAGCACTGGGATCTTTTTTTAATTTTTTATTATAAGGGGAGCTACTCTAAAAAATGTGCGTCAGAAAATGTTACACTATTTTTTTTTAAACTCTGTTTTTTGCCTTCTTTGTGTTTTTCATTGGGTGTTCATTTTATAAATAGATATTTTAAATTCATTATAAATAAACGTTTGAAGCATTGATTCTTGAAATAGGAACCCAAAAGCAGGACAAATCGATATATTCTATTTTTATACAAAGAAAATTATCGAATAATAATAATAATATGAAAATTATAACAAACAAAATACTCATTCATAAAGTAAAGTAAAGCATAGGCATACTCAGCATAAAGGAGATTTGGGATGGCGGTGTTAAATTGGCACTTAAATTAATTATACACATTAATAACTCGTTATTATAGTGATGAGTTTAAAGACGTAGAAGAGTGAAAATTCATGTAAAACAATGTACTCTACAATAAAATTTAGAATCGCGAAAAACAAAATAAATACCGCAATGTGTCAAGGTCGTGGGACGACGCCCCCAGAATCTAGCGGTCTGATTGGTTCAAATGTGGGTCGCAATGAAAAAAAAAGTATTTTAGAGTGACCAGAAACAGCTGCTCTAGAGACCGCCAAAATATCAAGTTGTAATATACACTCACTATCCAAATAGACTTAAATCCAGAACATTGTGGCACAACCGGTTGCATGGTTCGGATTTTGTTTCTTTATTTAAAAACCAGATTTCAATATAATAAAGAACTACTGTAACTGTAGTTAAGTTAGTGCTGTACTTCCCAGACTCCGTGTCGTCTTAAGGCAAGGCATGGGCATGCTATGGGCCTGGGTCCTTGCCAAGGACCTCACGCCTCCAGGGGGTCATAAGCATGCTAATGAATATTTTTTTTTTGGCAATTCAATTTGTTTCGAAATGCAACGGGAAGATCGTTTCTCCAGTTTTTAAAGCATATTTTTCGATCTTCAAATCAATTCCATTTTTTAATAACAGTTCGAAGTGGCTATTTGCACCCGGGTATCAGAAGTGAGAGATTGTTATTTTAAAAAAAACACTATTTAAAATATTATTGTTGGGTTTTTAAAGCAAAATAAGGTATCAAATGAAAGATAATTGAATGGACTATATGTTTGTAAACTTACTTCTTCAGTTTAACTAAAGTAAACTACCACTAAATGATATCCGAATGGGATTTAGTCTAAAGGGACCCGGGTCCGAATAGCGGCCCCTCCTTCCCACGGCCCTGATTATATAGAAGGATATGGGGCCTCAGTGTATTACTTAGCCCAGGGCCCCAGCTGTGATAAAGACGGCGCTGTGAAGACAGATGCTGTATTTGATTGTAAAACCGATAATGTTAAACCTACAATTATGTAGGTCTACCGCTTCCCAAATAAAAATATTTAAAGTTTAAAATATCGTTAACCTTAGATGGCAACTGTAATGAAGAAGGAGGGCTCTGAATTCAAACCTGGAAATGGAGTCCCGTGGGCGGTATGACTTTAAAACGATGAAAATCCTGACAACTCCTGCGACTCTATTGGTACGACGTGGAACGTATAAAGAGCACACTGAACCATCAAAAACCAAAAAAACGAAACAAAAAAAAACAAGGGAACAAAAACACAGCTGGTTATCCATTGCATCATGGGCTATTCCCAGTCGTCTTAAATAAGTCTTGCCATAGGCACAAATAGACTAGGGATCGTAGCTAACGAGCCAACCAAATAGCTTAAGTCAAGTTGGAGTCTTGGTCATCTTCGCACGCGAAGGATGAACGGTAATAATAATAAAATAAAATTTAAATGACTTGAAATGGAAATAAATTGAGACACTATATAATCATGCGCCCCCAGAGGCGTAGCGAGGGGGGCGGGGGGAAGATGTCCCCGGGCGCAAGCTAGTTAGGGGCGCCAAAATGTGCTTTCGTATTATATTATTGGTAAAAATAATGGGTTTGAGAGTTGAAAAAAAAAGAAAAGGGGGCGCTTTAAAATGGATCTTGTCCCCGGGCGCGAATCTTGTCCCCGGGCGCCAAACACTCTCGCTACGCCTCTGTGCGCCCCCCCCCCCCCCCCACCCCTAATAAAAACATTTTAAAACAACATTCTTTTTTTGTTCCAGATAAATCCCCAATACCATTTTTAGCATTCATATTAAACTCAACCAGAAAAAATTCATTGCTTAAAACATTTTTTGTTTGTTCGTTCAATAAAATATTTTATTGCAAACACTAATTATTTTTAATTAAATTTCAAACATATAATGATTAAACCCCAGTTATTTCCCTTTCATCACTTTCGTGTTTTTTTTGTTTTGTTTTTTTGTTGTTGTTTTTTTTTTGTTGTTTTTTTGTGGGGGGTGGGGTGTGGCGTGAGAAACAAAAGTGCACCTATTATCGAACTCCGATTTCCACCATTGCTCTTCAACTTATATTTCAGTGTACTTTTTTTTTTCAAAAATATTTTTTTGTTTTAAATCGTTTAACACCTCTGGAAAATTAGGGAAGGGGTCCTCAAAAACCCTGGGTGGGGGTATGGGCAGAGTTTGGTGGGGGATATCGGTGCAAAGAAAAAAGAAATATTTTTTTTAAAAATTGTTATTTAGTGTATTATGCAATCTTTAAAAAAAAATTAATTAGCAGTACTCTGTGTTACGAAAACTATAGACATCGGGTACACAAATGTCGAAAGTCTGGGAAACACTGGTATTGGGTAAAGGCAAGCAATATGGGTGTTTTTTTTTTAATTCTTCGGCACTTCTATTTGTATACCTTATGTAAATCTCAATGGTAATAGGTTTCTCAAGGTTGATAGGGGCGCATTTTAGTTATTTCCATGGGCGCCGTAATTCACCGGAACGCTTCAAAAGGGGGGGGGGTTGTCACTTCACCGACATGATAATAAGGCAAGCAATGTCTCAAGTGCATAAATAAATACCCAAGGACTAACTCCACAAATACCCCCCCCCTCCAAAACCAACAATATTACATGGTGTTGGTAATACACGTCAAAAGCTCCACTCGGCATGGTTTCCCCTCCCAGGCACGTCACTGCCAAAAGGACAGTTTGAGCATCTCATCGTCGAAATGTAGGTCTATACTATAGCCTCCAGGATGTATCGCAACTCAATAGCACCTGCAACAGTCTATAGCTTCCAGGATGTATCGTAACTCAATAGCACCTGCAACAGTCTATAGCTTCCAGGATGTATCGTAA